GTTAACGTCTTCAGTTGGCCGAGAAATTGAACCCCGTGAAACTTGATTTAATATTTTCCTTATGCCAGATGCATAAATCACTACCTGATGTTCATGTGATTATGGAGAAACCAATCTAGAAGTTCAGATCACTTTAGCATTGCCTAATGGTTACAAGTGCCTGTTAATGATTGATATTTGTATATTATTAATCATTAAATTTATACTTGTTTATCTATGTTATTAATACTACAACATGTTTCTTTAATCTGAATAATTTGTTATAGCCATTTGAAAGTTTCGAGTTATGGTTTAATCACCGTGTCATCTTTCAGGGAACAACAAATTCTAGGAATATCTACTGTACTTTGTACTACAAAGTAAAAGTTTGTAGCACGTGAAATACGTTTAATAAAATATTTTGCTAATAACATCTTGATCCTCTAATAGTTTCACAGATTTCATCACCAATCAAATTTTTTTAAATCAACTATCACAATTTTCGTACAATTTCTGCGTTTCTAAACATCTGCATTTTTATTATTATACTTTTATACGCATCTTTCCTAATTTTAGAAAGGTGTTTTTTGTAAAAATTTCAAAATATTTCTTAGTAATTTTTTTTTAAATATATATCCTACATCAGCCAAACTGTTACAATATATCACACTCTTCATATTGAAGTATTAAAAAAAAATCATATCTTTTGACCCACACAGAAAATTTTCATGATGCAAATATTGAATTATTAACAACAACTACAATAATACCTTCTTAACGAAAAGAAGATACACAAATATTTTTTAAAGAAAACCACTCAAAAACTTATTGTCTTACATAAATAACAACGTGTTAATTCAACCATAAAAAATATTTCGTCTTGGTGAAATGTTTTAAATTATGATTAATATTAAAAAACCAAACTTAAAAAAATGAACAATATCGGAGCTGTTCCTCAGAACTTTTTGCTGAAGCCCTTTATTGACTTGGCTAATTGTATCATAGAATATATTGGTAATAATACCGTATGATGAACTGAACTGTACAGTACATGAATACATTTCTAAAAATATGACAAGTAACCATATTAGCTCAAAATCCTTGACCATAATTCATATTTCATAATTTATTAACTTTTGTAAACGAAAATTTTACACACGAACTACTCTTGCAGAATACTAATTTGTTAGTTAGTTCCAGAAAACCTATTTCATATTTATAGTTTTTGGCACGATAATATATTGCAATAGTTAAAAGGAAATTAGACGGATTGTAAATTTATTTGATGATGATCTATTAGATCCAATGGTGTATGGTAATTTCTACCAATAAGAACTGTTCCTAATAGAATAAAATTAGTTATGTGCGTGCACTTTAGCAATGCTTATTAACCAAAGGACCTTTATGGATTTTACCAACAGTATATTCTCTATAACAAATTATATACATCGAAATAACATTCACAGGCTGCAGAATTACTGGTTCGTGGCAAAGCCTAAGGCAAATAATAGAGACGCGTCGAGTGTTATCAGAATAAAAGTATTAGTCAAGGCAAACGCGTATACTCAATAATAGTTCCGTACTAAAAGGAATTAATCATTATTAGTATTCTAGATAATAGATAGTCGAAATTATTGGTCTAATGACATGTTTGCACCGTTTTATTATCAGTACATTAGGGGAGATTGGGTACGGTTGTGCCACATTTTTATTAAAAAATTTAACATAATATAACAATATATAACAGAATATCATTTTTTAAACAAAGTTAACAAGAACTTTTTGTGACATCAATTTTTTTTAATTGAATTATCCTTTCCTCTTCTCTTTCGTTTTTGGTCTTGGTTAAGTTAGATTTTTTTCTCTTTAATCTTCACCCACAAAATTTGTCAGAACTGTACCCAACGCACACTTTTTAAAACAAACCATCGTTATGATTAAGCTAATTTAGCTACGCAAAAGCTAATTTCTAATAATTAACTACTAATTGTTCAACTTCGAGCATAATAATGAAAAAAATATGTACATGTATTATTAAAAGAATTCGAACACGAAATCTTACTTTTGGCTCTTTAAAAGCATTCGGTCTATAGATCATGTTAATGTAGGGCGCCGACTCAATGCAATAATGGAAACTTGTTCCAACTAACATACTTCATTTTTCTCCCTCTGGGCCTTATCTCAAAATCAGTATAGTTTAGCTGTTATGACGACTATTACTGTCATATCCTGGCACAATCGTACCCAGTCTCCCCTATATTCAAATCATATTATTGATTACGGCTTGTTTATGAATAAATAAATAAATAAATAAATAAATAGCTTTGCGAAGCAGTATCTAAAACTGCACATATATTTGCATTAAAATAATTGTTTTACTGATCTACCAATATAGGAACTTTATTTTGATGTTCAGAAGCATAATTTTGTATTCAGTGGTTAGTGGTACACAAATTTTTTTCAAAGTAAATCACTCAAAAACTTATGCCTTATATAAATAACAACGTGTTGTTTTAACAATAAAAAAATTGCTTAGTTATATCTATTTACCTTTCAGGGCGAGGATTATTAAAGTCGTGTAAAATTGGGTAAATTCAAAAAAACTCAATTATTGATTTTTAACTTCCGAATCATCTAAATGGTCATTGCAATCACTCTTATTAGAAAAGTAATTCACTCAGCCAGTTCAACTCATTTTTGCCAAAATCTATCTTTCAGTTAAGAAGAGTTTCGTATAACGCATTCACCGTGTTATATAAGGGTTGACTGCATATACATAACGTATATATTTTACAATAATATAAATAATAATGATGTTAGTTGTTATATAACGATTACATTCATATTTATTGATTATTCACTATCTGATGATCAATATCCAATATTTATTTATTAGGCTTTGTCTATAAATGCCTCTAACATTGAACATGTTTCTCGACGTCTCCAGGACATTTTAATCTGCAATCTATTCAAGTTCATCAATTTACTATCACTAAGCCGATAATCATTTCTATCATTTGTCATTATTGTTATTCCGTCACTGGTGTGACACATGTGATTCCTTGAATGACGCCTTTGGCGGATTATTTATTTATTTACTCACAATCTATGACACGAACTACCTTACGGAAATGTTAGACACAATGAAATAATATCGTACACGATATGAGCATATTATTAAAAAAAAATATCTATATGCAAAATTTTATTTTCAATTGTTATTTTACCAAAAAAATACCTGGTCGAAATCGGAATGTGGGCTTCCTCGTGGCTTAGTCGTTAAGCTCTGATCTTCCTGGTAGAAGATTCCAGGTTTAACTCTTCCAGTCTGATGTCAAGCAGTTGTGATATCCGTTTTCACTTGAAAATATAGAAATTTATAAAACCTTTAAAGCTTTTCCTCAGCATTGCTACAACAAATTAAAAAATCATTAGTATTAGAGAAATTCTAATAATAAATTATATCAAATGGAGATAAACCAACCGTTGAGTTCCTTCTCAACAGCTCATAGGCTTCTTAAGTTCTGATTGCTGCTCAAAAAAAAAATCAAATGTCACCTGAAAATTTGATTTTACTTCACAGTTCTTTCAAAATTAATTTCTACAAATAAATAAATTGATATCTAATTTTTTCTATACAATAAAACATTTTTCTTAAATACTGTCAAGGTGTCAACAATTTGATTTTTTTTAATAAAAATGATTTTGCCAACTGCAGTTTTCTGCGATTTTCTAGAAAACAATTGGTCATACTCGAAAACAGTCTTCAGCAATAAAATTACGAGGGAAACAATATGTAAACTAATATGGACCTGCATATAGTTTTCTGGAAAATGTTCCAATTTGCTTTAAATTGTAGGAGCGTAGGAGAAATCTAAAAGTACATAACAATTGATAGTAGTAAATAATTAACTGTTCTTTTACAATTGGACAATACTAGAATTTTCTATATTATGAGATATTTAGTAATTTACATTACAAACAAAATAATAACCCACTTAGCCACCATACAAGAATCTATTTTACTTCAAAAATTATGTAACAGTAAATGCTGTTTTTCCAATCTTTCGTTCGATCTCATTTAGCGTTGAATTGCGTTTATTTAAATAGTTTTCAAATACTAATTAGCTTCTCACAAATAATTTTTTATAACATCAGAATATATTACCTCATTCATAGTACATTGTTATTATATTATACAATATATACTACATATTGATTCAATTCCTTATAAATATTCTCAAATGATGTGTGACAAATTAATACAAATGCTCCAGTAAATGCAAATAAAATGGTTATATAATTATTATGTGGCATGATATTCTTGTAAACGTGCTTCATAACAATAATCTTGAAATTGAGCAATCTTTCGTAGTAAATTAATAATATTTAATTGCAAAATGAGTATTATTGAATGTTAATTTCCAGAATTATTGCAATGTTAAATGCAGATGCCCTGAATATCCAAGACTCAATAGCATGAGAAATTTCCTACTGCATTTATGAACTTGTTAAGAAAATATTAAGCAATAGCAGTTTTTCTTATTTCTTTGAAATTCCCACTAGAAATTATGTTCTAATGTGATAATGTGATTATAGCAATTATCAAATATAATGATTAATTCAAATAAAAAATCAATCAAAACATCGGAGTTATTTATAATGACTGTTTTCAAATAAATAATTTTTTATCACTGTAAATTTGAAATCATAATTATAATTATATTACTCGTTTAATAAAATTTTAACCTCATTACTTTGCAAAGATAAAATTTTATTAACACGTATTTACAATGTCTCTTAATAGGATTTTCAGTTGAAAAATCCTAGCACGATTATAATGTTTTTGATAAAGATATAAATTTATGTCCCATAATTATCTCTATAAAAAATGAAACCCAAACATTTTTAGAAATCACTTTTTGTGCTCATTATATTACAATTAGATTAATCTTAAACCATAAACATTGTCATAAATTAAATTTTTGTAATTAAATTAAATAAAATAAAAACATTTAAGAATGACACAAGTCAAAATAGGGCCGAATTTTGGAGGTTCTGTATGCGAAAAAGTATAAATTGTACTTTTAAATTCAAAATACAATACAAAAAACAACCTCATGTTTTAAAATAATCAGTTTTGATCTAATGAAGCAATCTGCATTTAATTGAGAATTATAAATTCTGAATTTTTGCTCTACTGTAAAATTTTACTATTTTAACTTCTGGCACTTTTCTAATAAATGTACGATGTATTTCCATTTGTTTTGTCTACCTACAATACAATTTTTTTTTAACAGCTATCAAAATTTCTGGTTTTCTATAAGCATTTGTATTGATCATGCTAACTAACAGCTTTTAGAAGGCAAGTCAATGATTCATTAAGTTAAAATAGATATCACTACTGCTTGAAATCATGTTGCACGCAACACGAGATTTGAATTCCAAACCGTTCACTGAAATTCAGTGGTCGCCAGGCTGAGGCTCTACCACTTGCGCCACGCAATAACTTATCTATAATAAGATTTAATACTTCATAAGGTGTGACCATTAATCACGTGATTGATTTTTAAATTTTTTTGGAGTTTCTTCCCCTCCTTGGTAATGGGCAGGAACTGCCCTAGGGCAGGTCCATGAGCTGACTTAAACTCCAACTCAATCAAGGAAGAATAGTGTGAGAAATTTCTCATTTTCATTTCACTGTAGTGTCCGAAATGGGTTAATTTCAATTGAAAACATATTTTTGATCATTATTTTAAAGTGAGAATGGACATCGCTACTGCACGATGCCAGGCTGTCCAGAGCGGAGTACGAATTCATAACCCTGTCCACATGAGTCCGTGAGCTTAACCATTGCTTCATGGAACACCCTTGGTGATATGTGGTGATAAATATCATCATCAGTTAAGCCCCCTCTCCCACCCAATGAATTCTTGGAAAAATTTTATAAAACTTTGGATTTTTTTGCTAAAATTCGGGTAAAAAATAGATACACGTGATATCTTACTAGATTCACCCCTTTCCCTTGTAATATTTCGTAATTTTTTGTCAAACTTTGCCTCCCAGATATCATAAAAAAATACATTGTCAGACTGGTGCATTTTATATTCATGGTCATCATTGACTACACACAGTGCTGGATTTACAGTAGGGGCAGTCGGGGCTACTGCCCAGGGCGGCAAATTTTGGGGGGCGGCAAAATTTGGATAGCAAGAAAAAAATTCTATACAATATGTTTTAATAACATTTTTTATTTCTAGAAAAATAATCAACAAAACATAATACGATTGCAATGCAAAACTTGGGTTCAAATAACCGATTAATAAAATTTATTATTTTGCCTTGCCTTCCTCTCCGAACGTAAATTATCAAATTGGTTAATACTCGTAAGTCATTATCAAATTTGGCAATTTGGCTAATATAAAAATGACTTTTTTTTATATTTTGATTTTTTTTTTTGAAAATTATGAACTTTTTTCAAAGCAATCGCGCTGCATAGCTGTTTCAGAGACGAAATATCGAAACTCAATTACCATTTTTCGAAACGGCTGGACCTTCCTGTGCCAAAAACTAATCAGAACGTCTCCCCATCAATACAAATCTAATATTTTTTTAATTAATCAAGTCGATTTCGAGAACACGGATCAACCAATTTGAATGATTCGATTCCAATTGATAAGAAGACGTGTTGTTTAATTATTGGACAAGGCAGGTCTAACTGTTTTGAAGATTCGGACCAGAATTCCAAAAATGATAATTCAGTTATTGAGAAATGGAGCGTCCAATATCATTAAAAATGTACATGTATTGACAAAATGGAGAACTGCTCAAATTTGTGGGAGGCACATCTAGCGGTTTCGGTGATCCAATAAAAAAAAATTGGAAAAGAAGCATTTGGCGATCAAAAGTAATTATTATATACTATAGATATATGCACATCAAATTATCAGATATTTTATAGATATTTTAATGATAAGTGTAAATTTTGTATACATTTCTATGGGTTCTGTAACATTTTTTATCGCGCTTACATGCTTTTACACGTATTTTGTGTCTACGCAGCTGAAGGAGCGCGATTGCTTTAAAAAAAGTTCAAAATTTTTAACATATTTCAAATTATAAAAAACACAAAATTTTCAAAAAGTCAATTATTTCAGTTTTCAAAATTTTTTTTTTTTTTAATTTCAATTTTAGATACGGGAAGTTGCAGCACTTTGCCATAAGGCACGATGCCAAGCACCACTATTTATAGTATGTAGTGCGTAATAAATATTCTGCAATCAAGTTTATTAAAAATATATAAAAACTATTTAAGTAAAATGTCATGGATGGGGCGGCATTTTTGTCAGTGCCCCAGGGCGCCAAATTTCTAAATCCGGCCCTGACTACACATTACAAATCATCTTGTTGACTTTGGCAACTTTTCCCAAAAATATAAATATTTTCTCTTTAGATTGGAATACGATATGGAAATGAGATATATTATCCTTCAGTATTTTTTTAAATAAATATAATTCTTCTGGGAAAATAGTAATGTATATGATAAAAAGTATGAATAGTATCGTGCATACAGCACAATAATTTAAAGCTTTTCCATTGCTCGCGTCGATTTATTAGCATTCGAACGTTTACCGCGATTACAAATGTCAATTGAAAATCGCGTGATTATGAAAGAGGCCGTAATGCGATGTGTGTAGCATTTTCTATCGAAGAGCGAGTATAAATGTTATTCTTTTTGTACTCAGAATTTCAAAAAAAAAAATTAAATCTAGTGGTGCATGGCATCGTGCCTTAAGGCAAATTGCTGGATCTTTCCGTACCGAAAATTAACATTTCTAAAAAAAACTTCAAAATTTTACAAAACTTCACAGTCTAACGGATAAACATTGGTACGGAATCCATAGAAATATTAACAAAATTTACACTTATTATTAAAATCTTTATAAAATATTTGATGATTTGTGCTTATGTCTAATGATCTTTTTTGACCGCCAAATGGCACTTTTTTCTCATTTTTTAGTGGATCCCCGAAACCGCAGGATCTGTCTTCCCAAAAAAAAAATTATTTCGTCAATACAAATAATATGTTTTTTGAATCATTCAAATCGGACGCTTCGTTCACTCAAATATTGGATTACCATTTTGCCTAATATCTTCAAAACGGCTGGACCTGGAAAAACTAATCAGCACGTCTCCCCATTAATACGAATCAAATGTTTTTTTAATTATTCAAATCGGTTGATCAGTGTTCCCGAAATCTTCGACGAAAAATTGTATCCGAACACACATACACACACATCAATTCAATTCAATGCATAAAGGCATTTCCTTCGCTATACAAAAAAAACACACACATCAATTTTTTCTAAAATATGCCAAAATGTTCAGAAACCTCTGTAACGTAAAGATATGCAAAAAATTTCATTTACCAAATAAAAAAGTGCAATATGTAAAATTCCTTGCGTTGATTTATTTATCCGATACCTGTTTCAAAAGTGCATTCATTTTAGTTCAATATTTTTCTTTCCCCAACTCCAATATTTAATTAACCGAGTAATATAATTGCAAACAATTATTAAAGAAAAGAGCCTTTTATATCACAGAAATAAACATGTGGCAATCCTTTTAAGAAAGGTATATTTCATGTTATTTTTTGTTGTATAATTAATTTGGCTATATATTAATGTACATAGTATTTAGACTAGTTATGAATTAATAAAGATAAAATGCAAAATCAAAATTATGTGAATGGCCAATAAAAAGTCTGCCGACTCTCACTTAATAAGCAACGGGATGATTAGTTGATTTAATAGCTCACTACAAACAGCTTATAATAATAATCTTAAGGCATTCTCATTCTCGTACGATTTCGCACATCGCACATCTAGCATCGCTTTAACATCGTGAGAATAAAAGATGCGCTCGGCGAATATGACATTTTGAACTGACACTCGACGAGTGACCCAAACCGTCCCGGGTTATGAAAGATGCAGTGCGAATGATCCTTAAACGATTGCAGTAGTTGTTAATTAAATAGACGATTATATAAAAAATACACTATTTAATTGTGCTCCGCCCGTTCTATAAATTTCGTGTAAAATATCTGGAAGCGTGTACTCCATTAAATTGCTTATATTCCTCTGAAGGATATTAATAATATAGTTTCAATAATGATTTATTAGAAAACCGTTAAATAAATTATCTCTATACACTAATAATATTAAGAGTGATTATGAATAAATGTTATTTGTCCCACTAGGCGCAAGAGGGTTACGTTTACGAAAAACCAAAAACACCTTTTGAAATTCCTACGACATCAAGACCTGGTCAACGACCGGGATTTCCAGGCGGTCAACCCGGATATCCTGGTAGCCCCGGAGGGCCCACCGGACCTTTTGGTCCCCAAGGACCTGCTGGACCACAAGGCCCAAGCGGTCCTCAAGGGCCAGGCGGTCCTCAAGGTCCAGGTGGTCCACAAGGGCCAAGTGCACCAGGTAGACCTGGAGGACCAAGTGGCGGTGACTTTCCTAGTTCGAGACCGGGAGGATACCCAAGTGGAAGACCAGGCGGACCGGCAGGCCCAGGTGGTCCTGGAGGACCACAGGGGCCATTTGGCCCTGTTGGGCCACAAGGCCCAGGCGGACCACAAGGACCAAGTGGACCTCAAGGTCCGAGTGGTGGCTATCCAACTAGCAGACCAGGTCCACAAAGCCCCAGTGGATTTGTTCCAGGAAGTGGAACAAATTATCCAGGTGGTGGCTATGCCCCTGCAGGCAGACCACAGGGCCCAGCTTTTCCAACTCCTGGAAGCCCTGGAAGTAGACCAACAAGCCCTAGTTTTCCAAGTGCACCAGGTTAGATTTTTATTTGAATTACTTATCCCATGTAACGCATTATTTTACTAAATATATTCGTTTAAAAAGGTGGTCCTGGCGGTGCAGGATTTCCTAGCAGACCTAGTACGCCTGCCCAAAGACCTTCAGGTGGATACCCATCTCCAGGTAGCCTACCAATGCTTTTTGAAAAGAATTGTTTGATTAATTTATTCAATAATGTAATTAAAACCTTTCAAATGTACATCATTTTTAGGTTTTCCCGGAAAGCCAAGCAGTCCTGCTGGACCAGCAGGAACAGGAGGTCCAGGTTAGTTTTGCTTTCTTATATCAATATGCCTTCTTATATCGAATATATATAAATTTATTAACGTAAATTTTAACTTGTGATAGTAATGTAACAAAATATAATAATTACATCATTGCACAATTGTAGTCATTATCCAATTCTATTACATAATTTTACGTTCGATAAGCTTACATAAAATAAAAATAATAAAACCTCGCTAACAGGAGCTGGAGGTCCCGGAGGACCTGCAGGATATCCAGGTGGCGGCTACGCACCGGCTGGTAGGCCAACTGGTCCCACTTTTGGTCCAGGTTCACCAACTCCATCAAGACCTAGCGGTGGATATCCAAGCGGTCCCAGCGGAGGTTCAACAACTCCATCCAGACCTAGCGGTGGTTATCCAAGCGGACCTGCCGGTCCAGGTGGACCTGCTGGTACGACACATAGATAATATACTAAATAATGTTATATTGATAAGCAAAATATATATAAAAGATTACTTTCTTACAGGTCCTGGTGGTTATCCTGGTCGTCCTGGAAGCCCCGCACCAGGTTTGTAATTTAGATGTTGTATATAAATGGCATTGAATGTAAATGCATATATTATGCATACAATATTTTGTATCTAATTACATACTAGAAAAGATAAAAAACTTTCGTTATTTTTTATCAATACTTGTTTATATTTAAATACATAGAAATAATTGTCCAAAATTACTTGCACGGATATCTAACATCTAAAGTTATTAATTTAAAATATCATTTCCAGGAACCCCGGGTGGTGTTGGGCCGGTAAGTCCTGGTGGAGGATATCCAAGCGGTAGACCAGGACCTCAAGGTCCTCAAGGTCCACAGGGTCCACAGGGTCCACAAGGTCCTCAAGGTCCTCAAGGTCCTTCAGCATTTCCAGGTGGACGACCAAGTACTCCTGGAACAGGTACAGGTAAGTCATATTTTGGGGACTAAAAATATTATATATATATATATATATATATATGTGTGTGTGTGTGTGTATGTGTGTGTGTGTTATTGCAATACTGCAACTTCAATAACACAATATGTTCAACAGGTTATCCGGGAGGCGGTTATGCTCCAGCAGGAAGACCTACAGGTCCAACATTCGGCCCAGGAGCATCACCTTCCAGACCGGCCGCACCAAGTAGTGGATATCCAGGCGCTCCAGGAAGTCCAGGTGGTCCAGGTGGTCCAGGAGGACCGAGTGGGCCAGCCGGTACAGGCGGCTCTGGCGGACCAGGAGGATATCCAGGTTCTGTAGATTAGGCAACTTTAATCAAATTATTAATGAAAGTAGTAATATAATTAAAAACTAATTAAAAATGAACTTTAATTTTTAATTAACCTTTTTGATTTCCAGGAAGACCTGGCAGTTCAGGACCTGCTGGTCCTGGCACACCCGGAGGATATCCAGGTAAGTTAATAAAATTAAAAAAGTTAAAACTCATTAATATAGTATAATTTAATATGTCAATTAGTATTTTTTCATTTAATAATCATTGGGGTTGAATTTGTTTATGTTATTTTATTAGTAAAAGCGTTTATTTCAGGATTTCCGGGAAGCCCTGGTAGTCCAGGACCTGCCGGGCCCGGAGGTCCTGGAGGATTTCCAGGTTAGTAAAAAAGAATAAACTAGAAGTGTACAATGATAATTATTAAAAAAAACATACATACTAATTCATTCATCCAACAAATTTAGCTGAAAAAAAATCTAATTTCAGGATTTCCAGCAAGACCAACTACACCCGGACCAGCTGGTCCAAGTGGCGGATTTCCAAGCAGCCGGCCTGGACCAACCGGACCCCAAGTACCTCAAGGCCCTTCTGGCTTTCCCAGCGGACGTCCATCAGTTCCTGGCACAGGAACAAGTTAGTATATATGTTGATCTATCTAGAAAAAAATGAAAATCAAAGATTTAATAATTAAAACTATAAATGAAAAGAATTATAAGATAAAATTATCATGCATTTAAATAGGCTATCCCGGAGGCGGCTATGCTCCGGCAGGACGACCGACGGGTCCAACATTTGGTCCGGGAACACCATCCAGTCCTGGTGGAGGAGGAGCAGGAGGCCCAGGTGGCCCAGGAGGTAAATTAAATATATACACGGTTATTAAAAAGTATTTTATCGTTATATTTAATAGTTATATATAATCTGAACAAACAAAAATATTTTTATAGGATTTCCAGGAAGACCAGGAGCTCCAGGCGCTCCAGGTGGACCATCAGGTTGGTAAAAAATATCTTACGTATTTCAATTGAACATTAGACTCTTATATATATATATATATATATATATATATATATATATGTATATATATAGCAATATATGTATGTATTTATATGTAAGTGTGTTTTTATGTGTATATAGATTTTACTACTATTGATTTTTTTTGTAATTCAGAATTCATATTTATTTCAGGTCCCAGTGGATTTCCAAGTAGGCCTAGCACTCCAGGACCAAGTGGAGGATACCCAAGCGGACCTGCAGGTTGTTGATAATAAAATGTTTTTGTTACTTATTAACATTCATAGTTTATCTAATAATAACATATTCGTAAATCTGATAATGAACCAATACAATGAGTTTAATATACTTTTAAGTAAATCTAATAATAATCCAATATAACGAGCCAATTCTTATAGGACCTGGTGGATATTCAGGAAGACCTGGTACACCTGGACCAAGTGGCGGTTATCCAAGCGGACCAGCAGGTTGTTGACAACAAATTATTGAAATTTTCTTATTAACAATCAACTTTTAGCTATTATAAAAAAATATGTTTTACAATACATATAGTTGTAGTCAATAATATTGACTGAGTCAATTATTGTAGGTCCCGGTGGATTTCCAGGAAGACCCGGTACCCCTGGACCAAGTGGAGGTTACCCTAGTGGACCAGCAGGTTAGCTTATGTATTTAATTATTTTATGAATTATATAGTAAATAATATTAAAAAATAAACAAAACAACTTCACAGTCTCAACCGATAGATTTTCGAGAAATATTGATAGTCTTGAAACAAATACGCTTATTAGAAAGTGTAAAAATACATAAAATCCACAAACACATAAGTAAATGTATATTTAACACCACGTTGAATGTTTAGGCAGACCAGGAAGCCCTGGACCGGCTGGCCCTGTAGGCCCGCAAGGACCACAAGGCCCTCAGGGAACAGGTTATACCCCAGGACGACCAAGTACCCCTGGTACAGGAACAGGTGATTTTCATTAATAACATTTATATTTTATATTGTATATAATTTTATGTTACATGCAAGCAATTAAAAATTAAACATCTTAATTATTAGTACTTCAAATTTAGGCTATCCCGGAGGCGGCTATGCACCAGCAGGACGTCCAACAGGACCTACTTTCGGCCCTGGGGCATCAGGACCATCTCGGCCAGTAACTCCTACTGGAGGATATCCGGGAGCTCCTGGTGGACCCGCGGGTCCAGGTGGACCAAGTAAATATTTTTTAAATATTTCTGCTCTGAATCAGGAAGTATAAAAATCTACTTTCAAAAATTTTTTTCTGTAGGTCCTGGCGGATTTCCTAGTGGACCAGGACCAAGCGCAGGTTACCCTGGAGGTCCTGGAAAACCCGGAACCCAAGGTTTTCCTGGAGGTAAAAATATGCAAAGCAATGTTTTACTGAATGTTGTTATTAAATGAACTAATAACATGCTAATATTATAGTAAAACCTAATCTTATAGAAATATAATAAAATTATTTCATATAATATTATAATTGATGATACTAATATACGCGTATATTAGTATTAAGTAAATATATTTATTTACAAAATATTGAATAATTGTATTTAATATTCAATAATTCATACGTGTTTCAATTCCCTATATTAACTTACAATTAGTGTTACCTTATATAGGATATAAAAATGCTTGGCAATGCACTACCAACATTTTTTTATTAAAATTATTGTATATTAGGACCAGGAGGACTTCCAAGTCGTCCAAGCAGCCCAGCACCAGGTGGATATCCCAGCGGGAGACCTAGCGGACCCGGTTTTCCTGGAGCGCCAGGATTCCCAGGAGCACCAGGGCGTCCCGGTTTTCCAGGAGTTCCAGGTGTACCAAGTGGACCAGGAGGACCTGGAGGACCTGGAGGACCTGGAGGACCTGGAGGACCTGGAGGACCAAGCGGTACAGGCACACCATCAGCTCCAGGTGAGATGCATTTAAAAATAAAGATAATTATGGTTCCTATATTTTCTTCTAATATTTTTTAACAATGTGTAACTTCATTAAATTTCTTCTTTAATAGGTGGATACCCAGGCGGTGGATATGCTCCAGCCGGAAAGCCATCTGGCCCAACATTCGGTCCCGGATTCCCATCTCGACCATCCACTCCCGGCACCGGATATCCAAGTGTGCCCGGTACTCCAGGAACTCCGAGTGCACCTGGAGGTATGAAATTTAAACAATATAACAAATTTAAATTTTATCAGAAAAAAATACATGCCAATATTTTTATGTCCAGGTGGATTTCCTAGTAGACCGGGAAGTCCAGGGCCAAGCGGCGGTTATCCAAGTGGACCAGCAGGTTTGTATCATTCCTATGAATATATTCGATAAAATATAGGAATAACTAAATCGGAACATTTTTTATTCAAAATCAATCAATTATCGTCGATTAACAATAAAACAGTAAAAATAAAAAAATAGAAATATAAAGGAAAAACAGAATATCTCAAAGCTGTTACCAAAAACTAAACATTACAGGTCCATCACGACCCGGAACTCCAGGAACAAGTGGTGGATATCCAAGTGGACCAACAGGTTCTTATATATTATATTTGTTGAAAGCTATATTATTATAGTGAATAATTAATCAAATAATACTGTTTATTAAGGATCAGGTGGATTCCCAGGAAGACCTGGTAGCCCGGGACCTGCAGGCCCGAGTACAGGTTATCCAGGTAGTAGACCTGGCGGACCTCAAGGGCCACAAGGACCACAAGGCCCATCAGGATATCCGGGCGGGCGACCGAGCACACCTGGATCTGGAACAGGTGCGCCGTGCATATTTTGAATCACATGCATTATATAGATTTTACATTTATATATTATATATTTGTATATTTTCAAAACGTATAAAAAATGTCGTTTGTAAGATTTTTTAAAATTGCGATTTTGTCAATTTAACTTTCTATTTCTAAATTTTATTTAATTAAAACTCATTATTTTCAAATCTTAAATTGAAATTATCTATTAATATAGGATACCCAGGAGGAGGCTATGCACCAGCAGGAAAACCTGCCGGTCCAACATTTGGCCCTGGTGGACCCAGTGGTCCTGGATATCCTGGTTCTCCAGGTTTGAAATTTATAAAAAAATATAATATAATAAGAATAATAAGGCGTTTAGTAATATAAACACTATAAAATGTGAGATTCCATAAAGAAAAGCATACAGAAACATTAAAATAATGTGACTATAATTTTATTTAGGTACTGGAGGAGCCCCCGGAAGACCAGGAACTCCAGGAGCCGGCGGTTAGTGTGTTTTTATTATATTTATTAAAACTGTTTATCAATAAATATATAAAAGTAAACTTGCTTTTACAACAAACAATATGAATACTTCATTTCTAACTTACATGCGATAAAACATATCAACTTTGCAGGTCCCGGATTTTCTGGTAGACCAGGAAGCCCAAGCCCAAGTGGAGGTTACCCCGGTAGCCCGGCAGGACCTGCAGGGCCTGGTAAATGATTATTAAATGTTTAATTACAAAACTAATGATACATGAATGTAGAGAATCATCAGCATTTAAATACGCTATTAACGCATATTAACATATTGATATACTGCACGTACAAAATAGAAAAGTAAACATAAAAACGTTATGTTAGTGATAGTGTTTGATTATTGTAATTCATAGGTGTGAGACCAGGAGGATATCCCAGTGGCCCAGCGGGTACCAGTAGACCAGGTGGAATAGGCGGGCCATCAGGTAAATATTTCATTTCGATTTGCAGTAATAATGCTAACACAAAATTTTTACAACATAAAATCAGGTCACCACAATTTAAAATTTAGTTATTTAATTTCAATGACTATATTTCATTATTGTAAAAAAAAAACTTTTTGATATAGGTTTTCCAAGTAGACCAAGTAGCCCAGCCCCAGGAGGATATCCTGCAGGTCTGCTAAATTCCAATGTATTTATAATATTATTAAAGTAGCATCATATTTTTTAATTTATACTTTTTGTAGGACCTGGAGGATTCCCAAGTAAACCAGGAAGCGCAGGTCCAAGCGGCGGATATCCAGGAGGACCCGCGGGTCCAGGGGGACCTGGTCCGTAACATATAAAAATATAAAATAGCCTATCGTAGATTTTACTTAATATATTTAAACAATATTTTCTAGGTGGACCTGCTGGTGGTTATCCAGGAACAAGTGGCAGACCAAGTCCTACTTACGGACAACCAGGAGGTGTAGGACCAGGTATAAAATATTAGAGTGATATTGAATAAATTTATTATATAAATTGATATTATATAACACCTCTGGATCATTTTAGGAGGTCCCGGTGGTCCAGGAGGACCTGGAGGGCCAAGCGGAAGACCTGGTGGTGTAGGAACAATTGGCGGAATTGGACCTGGTATGTCACTTCTCTTAAAGTATATATATATATATATATATATATATATATATATATATATATAGTTGTTTATTTAACATTGAAACTTACATAATATTGCTATTTATCGTTTATAGGTGGTCCAAGTGGTCCCAGTGGCGGATATCCTAGCGGTCCAAGTGGGCCCAGTGGAGGATTTCCTTCAGGACCAAGTGGAGGCTTTCCCTCGGGGAGGCCTGGCTCGCCAGGACCTAGTGGCGGGTACCCGGGTGCGGGATACCCGGGCAGACCTGGAAGTCCTGGCCCTAGTGGGCCATATTCTGGGGGTCCAAGTGGCCCAAGTAAGTGTCTTCTCTATAACAAACAATATTTTGATTATAGTAGAATGATATAAATTAATTATTATATTAATCAAATAAAAACAGCTGGAGGAGTTGGAGGCGTGGGCGGTGTAGGAGGTGTAGGTGTAATAGGTCCACAAGGACCTTCAGGAGGTTTTCCGCAAGGACCATCTGGTGGTTTTCCGCAAGGTCCATCAGGAGGATTTCCTCAAGGACCCTCCGGTGGATTCCCACAAGGTCCACCCGATGACGGACAATATGAAGGAGGAGACTATAGCGCAATACCCGGAGAACCTGGAACGGATTATCCGGTATTCACAGAAATTTTCCAAACATCTTTTACATGTGATAGCCAACAATATCCTGGCTATTACGCAGACGTCGAAGCAAATTGTCAAATTTTCCATATTTGCGCAAATAACAAAACTTATGACTTCATATGTCCAAATGGCACTATCTTCAGCCAGGAACATCTTGTGTGTGTTTGGTGGTATCAATTCGATTGCTCCTCAGCACCAGGGTTATATGGAAATAATGCAAATATCTATGACTATTCCCAAATGGGATACAAACCTAGCTACCCAAGTCAGGCGCCAAGTTACCAAAGCGGTGGTGTAGGCGGCACTGGTGGCACAGGTGGAATTGGAGGCGTCGGTGGTGTAGGTGGGACTGGCGGCACAGGTGGAATTGGAGGAGTAGGTGGAGTTGGAGGTTCTGGCCCATCAGGAGGTTTCCCTACAGGAGGAGTTGGTCCTCAAGGACCATCAGGCGGATTTCCACAAGGTCCATCCGGGGGCTTTCCGTCAGGCTCGAAGGGTCCACAAGGTCCGTACCCAAGTGGACCGCAAGGACCATCTGGTGGATTCCCTAGTGGTCCCCAAGGACCTTCAGGTGGATTTCCCAGCGGTTCCCAAGGTCCTTCAGGGGGATATCCAAGCGGAGCACCAGGTCCTTCAGGTGGATATCCAAGCGGAGCAACAGGTCCTGCCGGTCGTCCAGGCGGCCCAGGTATTTTCTTATACATCGAATATATATGCACACATATATATATATATATATATATATATGTGTGTGTGTGTGTGTGTTTTATTTTATATTATTTGTGAAAATATTTTTGCAGGAATACCTGGAGGAGCGGGTGGTCAAGGATACCCAGGTGCCCCAGGATATCCAAGCGGCGGTAGACCAAGCTCTACTTACGGACAGCCAGGTATAAAAATATTATCCTGGAATACATTTTATGTTAAATAATAATATAAATCTAATATAATATAATCAACTTAGGCGGCGTAGGAGGACCAGGAGGAGTTGGTGGTAAACCTGGATCACCAGGTAAATTTAGTTATTTTGCTACTGCGCATAAATAATTAATTGCAAATCATGTGCAAACTTACACGATATATTAACATTAACATCTCCATTGCTGTGAAAACTCTGCATTTAAATTTTTTCAAATATTAAATCTATAAGTAATAACTATTATATTAGGTGGACCAGGAGGATTTCCTAGCGGCGGACGTCCCAGCACTGACTACGGAGCACCAGGTTTGTCAAAATTGCATTTTAATTAATACTAATAATTCCATTTTCTTTGGGCACTGGAAATTATTTATTCAACTACTTTAGGAGGTCCTGGCGGCCCGAGTGGTCCTGGAGGATTTGGGGGTCCAGGAGGTCCTGGAGGATTTGGCGGCCCAGGAGGTCCAGCAAGTGCAGGAAGACCAAGCCCAAGTTATGGCACACCAGGTTTGTTCAAAGATCACATATTCGAATTGTCCATCATGCTAACACTAAAATTAAAACAACTTCATTTAAAATTATACGATTCTAATACTATTCAAAAATTGCGTTAATCCAAGTACTTTATTTTTTTTTTATTATTTATTATAAATAAATAAATTATAATAATAAGTACTTTATATATACATATAGATTATGCAATTCAATTAGGAGGCCAAGGAGCTCCAGGTGGTCCAGGAACTTATCCAACTGGAGGTTCTCCTGGTAGTCCAGGTTAGGAATATAAATGTATATTTAAGAGTACAGCTGCTTTTAGAACAGAGTTATGATAAATTACTATATTACTACTAATCCGAGTTTTTCAATAAAATAGGTGCCCCTGGAGGCCCGAGCGGTTATCCAAGCGGTCGACCAGGCGGGCCAGGCGGTTCAGGTAAGACATGATAATTTAACATCAAACATATATTTTTACTAATAACAAAATATAAATTGTTTTTTATTATATTGGTAAATCAGGTGGTCCAGGTACACCAGGTACGCGACCGTCAACAAGTTATGGAGCACCAGGTTCGATAAGTTAACCTTACTATTAAATGTCGTTATTTTATTCAGAAAAAGTAAAGGCTATATTAATTTCTAGGTGGTCAAGGCGGCCCAGGAGCGCCAAGTAGCGGTAGACCATCAACTGGTTACGGAACTCCAGGTAAATTTATTTAAATATCTGCATATATTATTGATCATCAAACAAAATAAGAATAGTTAGTAATAAGTAAGTATAGTGTAAATAAGTAAGTATAGTAGTATGAAAAAAAAAACTCTTTTAAATCGCAATGTTCCTCAATTATTTGTATTACCAGGAGGTAGTGGTGGACCTGGTGGGCCAGGTGGCCCGGGAGGTCCAGGTGGATACCCAAGCGGAGGTCGACCAGGTGGACCAGGTAAAACAGTTTAACATGAGTAAATCATATTGTTTATAATAGACGTACCCAAAAAGTTTTAATTTGAAATACTTATTTGTAATAATTTTCCAGGTGCAGGTGGACCAGGATTCCCTGGAGGACAAGGAGGACCAGGGGGTGTAGGTGGATTCCCAACCAGACCTTCAACGGGGTATGGTGTACCAGGTTAGTAACATAGTGTGATATTGTAAAGTTTTAATAATAATATTGTATTTAAAAAGTTTTAATCGCATCCGATACCATTTTATTAGGTGGACCTGGTGGTCCAGGAATTGCAGGAGGTACAGGAGGTCCGGGCGTTCCAGGTGGTTTTCCAAGCGGCGGTCGACCGGGAGGACAAGGTAAAGCTTACATTCCAGAACGTGCTGATTAAACCTAATATTATATACTTTTAACACGTTTATGATTGTGCAGGAGGTCCGGGTGGACCAGGTACACCAGGAAGTCCAGGAGCTCCAGGCGGTTCGGGATACCCAGGTACAAGTCGGCCATCAACAAGTTACGGAGCACCGGGAAGTCCCGGTTAGTACTACTATAATTATTTTTTACTTGAATAATAAAAAAAAAGTGATAAATATTAAGCCATGAAATATAAAATTACAATTCATTTAATAACAACTTAACGCAGGCGCACCAGGCACATCATCGCTCCCATCCAGACCTTCAAGTCCTGGAGGTTTCCCGGAGCACAACCGCCACGACCTGGAGGTTTTCCACCAGCACCAGCCGGTCCAACGCCCAGCTCTCAACGTCCAGGCTTCCCACCAAAACCAGACGGCCCAGACAGGCAGTATCTTCCTCCAAGTTCGGGTTAGACACATGAAAATATAGCTAATAATAACAATAAAGAGAGAAAAAAAAACAAGAACACGATTAAATCGAAGAGCAGTAATGACGCCATTTATCAATAGAATAATTTAAAATACTGTTCGAATTCATCAAAATTAGAACGAAAAAAATAATGTTCTTGGTTTTTAATATAAAAAATATAGTAAATTAGATGTATTTTTAGCAGAAAAACAATTTTTTTTAAATATAGAACAATAATGCTTATTGCCATAAATGACTTGATGTAGATCACATAATGGCTAGGTAAATTTGGTCATAATTTCAAAAAATGTATATAATTATATAATGTAAAGCTAATTAAACCGTCAATTTACCAATTATTTTAAAAAAAAACTTACATGTTTTGCATTTCATTGGATATCAATAACTTTGTACAAGAGTTTCACATTTGCGGGTCCATTAAGAATATTTACATAACATTGGGCGTTGATGTAAAAATTCTTAATGGTCAAAAATACCCTCAAACTTTATATATTAATCTATTATTGTTCTAAATGCTATAAAAACATAAAAACCTAACTTTTGCATTTATTTAATTTTAGATAAGTCATATTTGTGTATTTATAATTATTTCTAAGATTTTTTTTTCATAATAAATATTCAACAATAAATTGAATAAACACTCAATAATATAAGAGAAGAGAATCATATCCTTGAAAAGTATGATTTTATCCGTAAGTGCAATTATTACTATTGTAAGTGTAATACTCCAAATAACATGTAACAAAGTTACCATTAGAAAAGTTACCACGCTTTACGTCCGGATAATTTTAAGTTTTAAAAAAAATTACATGTGATTGTATTTAAACGGATATATAAGTCGATTTTGAATATATTTGCAAAACTTGCCAAGAATAATTTACAAATATAAATTTTTGTAAAATAATCATATACTATATTGCAGCCTTAAATTTTATGTATATTGTTATAATGTACTTCTAGATATAAGTTCCGCATATGAAAAAGCCATGTATTATTTTGTATGCAAAA